CAATGTCTTACAAACTCTAATCCTAGAATTCGGGAGGCTAAATGAAATTCACACATGAATTCAGCTTCTGCCTAAATACATGGATTTTTGACCACTGATATCTCAAAGTAATTATTAAGTCACTTAAAGCTAAAAGCCAGTATGTCTGACTTCATTTTCAGTTTTGTAAATGCATGTAAAACATAATAGTGCAGTCATATATTTGGCATTAACTCTTACTAGCCACAAAAAATATGGATCAATATTGGATTTTCCAAAGTTGTCTAAGTAAGACTGGATTTATCAAAACTTGCCGGTTGCTTTCAAGTGAACACAGCATGTTGGCGGAAATGAAATGTAGTGTCTAAAAGACAAAAAATAGGCCAGTACTGTACAAAAGTAAACTTGTCAGTGAGATCAATATGAACCTACAAGTTAATGGGAATATTAGAATTTCCTTACAATAAGGGGTGTGCAGGGTAGAGCCAGAATACGATTGTAGCATTTATTCACTTGTGAAAAGCAGAGGGTGTATTGTTGTATCCTTAATGAAAGGCACCTCTTTTTAATGTGGAATACTTAGATGTAAGCACAGTTTTAATTCCTGGAATATCATAGTAAATTAAATTCTGGTTCATTTGCTCAGCTTTTAGCAATATGAAAATAATAAAAACAAGGAGTAATGGATCAAACATCATAAAATTTCAGAAATATCATGACGTTCTCATTAGCTTTCTCTATGTTGTGTTTCAGAGAATTTGACATTGGGGATGAAATCAGTAAAAATATTTGAAGGGCAAACAAAAACAAAAACAGAACTTTCTTGGGGCTTCCCATTGCATTTATTTAAAGTTTTTAAAAAATGTACATCACTTTTGGAATACATAAAATGCCAGTGCTTTGTAACAGTTTTGTTACTGCATCTCTTGATTAAAAAATGAGAGAAGAAAAAAAAAAAGAAAAATACATTCAAAAAGCCGGCTGTCTGCTTATGCATGGGCAGTGGCTTTGGAAAGCTGCAGCCTACATTGTGTCTGTTCAGAGGCACTGCCGGGCGGCAGTCAGCTACCAGTGAGAAGTTGCACAGAAAGCACAGAGGAAGACAAAGAACGACTTGGTGGGGAGCAGGAGAGGAATGCGAAATTACGCAAAATGCCACATATGCTATTGGGGTGGGAGCTAGAATCAGGTAGACGTAAGCAGGAAGACCGATGTACTTGGAAACTAGATTTATGGGAAAAGATGGAAGAAAACAAAGTGACATGTGTGGCAAGCTATAGAGTGTATGAGTGTGTGTGCCTGTGTGTGTGTCCACTTCTGATTTTCTACTTTAATTTCCAAGAGAAATGTAACAAAACTGAGGTAGAAATGAATGCGGGGACACTACAGCCCAGAAGAGTTTAAAATGAGAAGCAAAATCGCACTGACAAGAGAGGAGTCAAAAAGAAGGAGAGGGGATGTAGACGCTCTTTGTGGATATATATATATGTAAGTTGGTCGGTTGTGTTTTGTATTTATTTATTTAGTTATTTGTTTGATTTGGTTGCTATCTTTGCATTCTGTTAAACAGCACAGCAAGCCTACAAGCTAGATTAGTGAGTAGAATGACACCATTCCCAGCAGTTTTAAGAGAGAACTTGCAAACCACCACCTCCACTCCCACCTATGCAGTAAAATGCAGTCCTAGCTTTTAGGTACTGTGACTTTCAGGGTCCTACACAGGTTTTGTGGCTGACGGTCCTAGACGCTAACACAAACTGAGTAAGGAGCTTTCCATTAACCAGTGTAACTTTTAAGAACATTTTCACTTCATTATCAAGGAGCAATGTACGAAGAACTCTTGCAGTGACTGACATAAAGAATGACTCTGCTCTGGTTAATTCCCCATAATTAGTAAAAGAAGCTTTTTTTTAAAAAAAAAATCCTTCCATTTCTACTTTAAATTGTAAATATTCAGTTGTATCACACTTCACTATTTTTCTGGATACATTCAAAGTAATTTTCCTTGCTATTTTCCAATCGTTGAGGTAAACATACATTTTAATATAAAGTAACATTGAAGCCTATCCCATTACTCTCAGCAGTACATAGTGCTTTCAACACATTCCTTTGAGGTACTGTACAAATCACAATCGCTTTCCTGAGTTTTTGCAGACAAGAACATTAAAAGAAATGAACTGCAGAAATTAAGGTCCAGATTACCGTTACCCTGTTTTACCTGTTCTTAGCTTAATACCGCAGAACAGACAGGATTGAGGAATACTGTTGCTCTTAAAATGGCAAAAATCTGGTTTTCTGTCATAACACAACCGTTCATCTCTTTAGTCCACTAATGTTTGAAGTTAAAGCTCTTTATATTAGCACATGCCACCAATGTAATTGTGAGGCAAACAAAAAAATAAAGCACCACTCCAGGCACTTGACAGCAACTAAATCTCGAGAACAGCAGAATGGAATCAACACACGAGGTTCATGTCCTTCCGAAGTCAACACACTTGCACCTTGCTCCTTGGTGAGTGTTGTCTAGCGTGAGCCGAACTGAGCATCCACAGATGCTCTCTGTCATCTGGGGCTTTCAAATCGGATGCTCTCATTCGATGCATTTTTTTCCCCTCCAAATCTACCCTGACTCTAAAGATGCAACTTAATCATCATCTTCCCCAGTACCCTTTGCAATTTAAACACTACTGGAAAGGGGCTCTATACCCTATGTAGCAGGTTTTATGTGTGTGTGCCAACATTCATTACACTTTTTAAAAGAAGTTATCACTGACTGCAACCAAACATTTTGTTCCATTCAACATACATATCAAGCTCTTTTTGAGATATGCTAGGCTGAATCTTGCAGAAAGCATTTTCAAAGTCTTGATATGTAATGGGCCTCAACTGGCTGGGCATGATGGCTGAGAGGTCTGTGGCCGGCATGGCGTGGAGGGGGCCCACCGCCGCTTCCTGACACAAATGAGCCACGTCAAGTCCAGAAAAGCCTTCTGTGCGCTGGACGAGCAGTGCAAACTCCTTTTCATTGAGACAGTAATTGTGCTGTGAGAGCAGTTGTACTATTATCTGGTGCCTCGCTGTGCTGTCAGGAAGTGGGATTAAAAGTCGTTTCATGAAGTACCTCCGAAGAGATTCATCTATTTCCTCGGGTTTACTGGTGGCACAAATTACTACGATTTGGTCCTCAGCCGAAGTTAGTACAGTGTCCAGCTGCATCAGAAATTCGGTTCTCATCCGACTGACTGGACTGTGCTCCTCACTCACTTGAGAGGAGAGAAGCAGGTCAATGTCACTGACAAAGATCACGGAGGGCTGGCGACACCTGGCCACAAGGAAAGAGGCATGGATGATTTTCTCCGCTTCTCCTAACCACTTGGCAACGAGTCCAGAGCCAGCGATTTTGAAAAACGTGGCCCCCAGCTGACTAGCGATGCATCTGCCCAATAATGTTTTGCCTGTTCCTCGAGGTCCAAATAAAAGGATGCTCCGAGGTAAGGCCGTCAGTCCACTGAAGGCATCGGACCTCAGCACTGGCCATAAAACCTCCTCTTTAATGACGGCCTTGACCAGGTCCAGGCCAGCAATGTCACCCCAGTCCACTGGTGGCCCTGGGGTGATGATCTCGTTGGTGACCAGGTCAAGGAGGTGCGTGTCAGTATTCTTCAGTTGCTCGTCCACAGAGTGGTTGGATGAGGTAGCTGCACGGAGCCCAGGGCCTGGCATGGGGTGAGAGAGGAGCTGCCTGTGCTCGTCCCCATGCTCACTCATCACTGGCGACGTGTACTTCCCAAAGGGTTCGCTGGATCTCGAGCCCAGTGAGTTTTTAGCAGTACTGTAGGAAGGCGGGGTCAGAGCCCTACTGGACTGGCTGCTGAATTTTCTCTGCTGTTCAGAGGACATGAGCTGCTTCGTTGGCTTAAATGCCAAGGATGATGCTTCAGCACTTCTGTCAAAGCCATTCCCCCGATTTGAGTTTGAAATGCTGTTGTCGGGCATTCTGTACATAGGACTCTGTGTCGATCTCTGTTGGCCATAGCTGTAATTTCCATAACTGGAGTCCATATCGCCCTGCCCTGCCATATAGAAAGCTTTTCTTTTGAGAGAACTCGCCGAACTGTTTGTCAGGGCCGAGGGTGCGATAGGTGTCAAACCGTGACCCTGGTAGGTGTAGCCAGGAACAGTGGTAGGGGGCAGAGGGGTGGGAGCAGGAATTCCTGAAGGCAGGTATGCTGAAGGAGGAGGGGGTGCCCCCCCAGGGCTATAACCAGACCCCACCGCAGTCTGAGGGGGATAGCTAGCAGAGGGATAGCTATAACTGGAGAGGTTGGAAGTCCCATTGTAGCCTGGGACCAGGGCTGGTGGCGGAGGAGGCGGTGGTGGTGGCTGCAGGAGCCCAGAACTATGCAAAGGAGATGGATGAGGCGAAGGAAGTGCGGGTGCTGGTTGGCCACTGTACGTAGAATGCAAATAAGATCCGTTGTATCCTGGGGCATATTCCTGAGATGGGAGCCCTGCATGAAGACTAGGTACAGTGTGGCTTCCACAGGTACTGCTAGAGTAACTGGGTTCTGTCAGGTTGCTGGCCACCCCAGGAGAGCTCCCTATACTTGCAGAGACATCTGCTGGAGGGAGGGCTGAACTGACTCCAGCTTTGCTGGCAGTGATAACATCCGGGACACAGTTCATGGGATAAACGGCTTCTGAATTCAAGGACGGCTGCCAGGGCTCGTTTTCATTCTTCCGACCATTCACTAGTCCTGATGGTGTGTCTGAGTAGTTGCTGAGTACAGGTCGGTCCACGGGGCCCTCCAAAATGCCAGAATACTTCTCTGCATATTTTTTTAGTAGGTTGGATGCAGTCAGAGCAGAGATGTCATCATTCGCCCAGGCATACTGATAGGTGCGCTGCAAATGACCTCTGTAGGCTTCGACTTTGTGGGCAGGAGACCGAGTGGTCGAGGTGATGTCAAAGTGCTGTTCTGGCCACTGGGCATGCTCCGGCGTCCACTGCATCTTCAAGCCTAAGGATGGGGGTGGGGGAAAGTTGTTACTTAGATACTCATCAGAACTTCTTTTGTTACCTATTATTTTCTACCAATAATATCAACATTATAAAATATTCCCCCAGTTTGTAATATCTGTCATAATCTCTACAATATGCATACTTTAAAATGGATTGAATTTCAGCCCTGTATAAAAAAAAAATCTGAATTCAAATGAAAACTCTGTAGAAGACCTAAATTTTTCCCATTTTTAACTCATAAGCAAATGTATTTCTGTTAAGCCTATTAAGTCACTCGCTACACACAGAGAAACACATATATATGTACACACACATTCCTGCCAAATTAGAATTCAATCCCAGGTTCTTACAATAAAATATGCAGACATTTTAAATATCTAGCAAGTGATTGTATTAATGTGCAGTACCTAGCTATTCTGTCTCTTCCACATCACAGTTTCTGTTTTATATTTTAGCCAATATAAAAATGAGACACAGCTGACAGACCACATCTAGGATACCCCTCTTATTTGGTACTGAACACCTAGTTAGCACAGTATAATGCTCCCTGCACAGAACAATATGACACAGACAGAGCAGGTCATTCCATAATCCAACTCTCATCTAAAGTGGCCCACGACAGTTTCAAATCTGTTTCGTGGAGTGCAGCAAAGCAATCTCCCAGGCAGCGCTCCATCGCTTTCATCGCACAAAGCCCACAACTCGGTATGAATTACAACTGGCTCCTTTCTGCCTCTCAGTCCTGTTGTTGAGCCCCTGAAAAAAAGATACAGGCATCACTTGCCGGTCTTCTAGCTAGCATCCTCCCTCCTTCTCTTATAATCCTTCTCTCTGCCTTAGAGTCTCCAAGCTACTAAGAGGAGAGAAGATTCTCTGTCTCTCTCTAGAGAGAGAGGTGAATAGGAAGATAAGATTAGAGAGAGAATAAGAGAATCTGGAGTCTAACTCTATATTTCCATGGGAAGCAGTGTGTGGCAGACACTGGAATAGTACAACTCTGTAATGGATTGCTATGGGTAATTGTAGCATCTGTTAGATTACTAACTGAAGCAAGGTGACTATGTATTCAAGTATAAAACAAGAGTATTTTCTCATTGAAAAGAAAATGTTAAGCAGTTAGAGTCAGAATCATTTGAATTTTACAGTTTAAAAGAGACCTTAGAAATTACCTTCTCACACCCAAAGGGATTCATAATGCACCCTTGAGGCCTCACATGCAGTTAGTGACAGAAGAGCGCTGGAACCCTGTTCTATTTCCCAGGGCCGGCTCATCCCATCCTAATCTCTGCTTCCTTGGAACACTTGCTAGTCTGGTTCAGCTGTATTAAGCAGGCCTCCTTAATCTCCTTTGTATGACCCAAAGTGAATTTTGCAAACTGTCTTGTGCCCTCTGGCAGAGATTCCTTGATAAGAAGGAGGCCTGGTCTAAATGAAGCTTCTGTGGCATCAGCTCTCCTCTGAATTTCCCAGTCTATTTTGACAGCTCCTACCCGCCTCTGCTTTCTTCCTCCAAACCCTTTAGCTCTTCATTGCCTGACTGGCTTCTGACACAGCCAGCTTTGACTTACTGAGCAAATCTGAACATAGCACAGAGTTTGGTAACAGAATGGCATGTTGATTCCCTTCTGACTCCCTCTTCCTTGTTTGCAAAACCATTGCACCAGACACTGGAAGTTAATTAGCGGGATGATGCTGTGCTAATTGTGTTAATTTACAAGGTTTTAGTCAAAGAGAATCATGCCAGGGCTGGCACTGCTGTCATGCTTCCAACTTAATGATTAAAAAATACTGAAAACAAGGTAGGAAGGATTGCAGTAATTACACAATAAATGAATAAAGCAACAGGATTCATTTGCAAATATATTTTACTACAGTTGTACTCATTTGCATTTGGATTTTTTAAAAGGATCCATGTAGACATTCATTTGCAAATCACCATCTCAGTTAAATTAAGTCCGAAAGCTGCACAGCATAACTTAATCAAGCTTTACCATTATTTTAGTAAAAATACTAAAGGCCTTGCTACTAAAGACCTCTTGTACATGCAACAGATTCCTTCTTCACTTTCCTGCTTTTCAAAGTCAGTCTTTTAGAAACGATCTCATCAAATTGCAAAATAATAAAGTAAAATAATAAATAAATAAATTGTAAATCTGGGTGAAATGCAGCTTGTATCATTTCACTCTGAGAAACTCGGTGTGAGTTCTAGGAAGAACTAAAGTGATATTCTTAATTGTTTCTGTTTTCTCAATCGTTATTTTTTAAGGGGGAGGAAAACATACCACAAAATGGGTGAAATGATCGAAACCATACTTAAAGGGGAAAAGATGCAATTTTAATGAAGCAGCATTTCAGGAATCATACTTTCATTAAATTCAACTGGAAATTATTAAGAGCAAATCACCAGGAACCAATCGCAAGTAATCAGTATCTAAATTCTTCTAGTGTCATGGGATTTACTTCAAGCCTTATAAGAAGGAGAGAATATTAATGTGACTGTAATGGAGAGCTGTCTAAAAGACCTACAAATTCATTAGTCCTGTAAATTATTTCCAGGGAATTTCTATTAGGATTTTTTTTTTCGTTAAGACTATCAAAATACAGTGTTGAGAACATAAGAATACACATATGCTATGAGTAAGAATTTGATTAGACTGATACAGAATAAACATTTAAATAAATGTCTTGAAACAAGGTTTCAGAAAATAATTTAGGAGTCACAGGCAATGGGATTTACTACAAGTGCACCACAACACAACACCACACCACACCACACAACACGCATGTTAAAGGGCCTGGTTTCCTTTCAGTGAGCTGAGGTAAACCATTGTTTGCATGAGTTAACACACATACATAACAAAAATGACATTAAAAATGCTCATTGTAAAAAACAAAATAACACTTCTTTAGCTTTAGATTTAGAATAATTATTAAAAACAAAACAAAACAAAAATGATGGGCAGCCTTCTGCCTGTACTGGCTTAAATTTTTTTCCTTATAAATTAACCATTTATACCAATACGCATAAAGCAATCTTGGTAAGGTATAATCCCTATAAGAGACAGGAATATAAAGTTTAAATCAAGTAGGTTGGCTATTTTCACTGGGCCTTTTTGCTTAGGCTCTGGCAAAACGAATTAAATTTCATAAGATTTCTGTTTCATCAGAAATTAAGCAAAGATCCTATCAACATTATCTATTTGGAACAATTATGGGAAACACAATTGCTTTTTGATTCTCAGGCTATTTTTGGATGTGATTACCAAGATTATTGAAAGTTTATTTATTGATTCATACTAAATAACAATAACCTTAGCAGGGCTGCAAAAGGCAAGATTGAGCTTTGATTAAATAAACTTAAAGGAACGGAATTACTCACATCCCTGAAACACAAGGACTTAGCTAGTGCTTTAAAGTCATTAGTATTGTTTAAATATGGAAGTTAATAGTTTACCGTCTAGTTCTTACTATCAGTAGGCGCCGAGGAAGCTAGTGTTCAGGACACTGTCCTGGCCTTGCGAGCACAAAGAGCTTTCTCATCGGTGTCTTGAATTTTAATGCCAATTGAAGGTAGAACCAAACTTATTTTTGTTGTTGTTATTGCTCCGTTTATTGGTGGTGATGTGTCTGATGTGAAATGGATGAAAAACATACTGTTAAATGTTCTTTGAACAAAAAAGCAGGCTCCCTTTTACTGTATTGCTGTTTTCTGTGAGTGAGAAGCCGCAGATGCCTGTCACTTAACTTGGCACCCAAATAATAAGATGGGTTTTAAAAACAGCTTTTATACAGTTTCTTTTTGAAACACGAAGAGAAAAACCTCAGAAACAATACCATCTTAAACATTATTAGAGACGTGATTCCAAAAAAAAAATAACTCCCACTGCTGTTTAGTAATAGCTTACATAAGTAGAATAAAAACTCAGAAAACAGTGAAAATTAAGAAAAAATAGTTCTTAAAGGTAATTGAAGAATTGCTCCAAAACATCAATTTTTATGTTTGATAGGATCAGATAATTATTAATACAGCTGGCAAATTTTACAATGCAATGTGTTTGTTTTAAAAAATGTGTAATTTAATAGAAAATTGCTTTTAAGATACTTTACCATGTTACACAAGAACGGCAGGTTCTACAGTAAAAAGCCGGAGCATTTTGTTATTTTATTGTTATAGGATTAATCTGTGTGTGTACAAATGAACAAGTCTATATTTCCCATAAAGCTGGGCAGTTTGCCTAACATTTTCCATTGTTATCCTTACGACCATTTCATAACTTATCTTTAATTACTAACCAGATGCTGCCTCCTCGATTTACTTCCTACATTTTCACAATTTTGAAATGAAACAACGGGAAACAGTTGTGGCATCCTTCACAGCTCTGTCTCAGCTTCCAAATTATCAAGAAGCTCTTGTATAGGAAAATGAAGGATATAAAAACAACTTTCTGAATGGGAGGAAACTGAAATAAAAGACTAAGCCTGCTAGAATCTATTTTTAGCACACATTCCTGGAAATATTAATCTAAGGCACTCACTACTCCACCCCCACCCGTAACACACACATGCTATTCAGCAGTTCATCAGGTCTAAAAAAGCTGTTCTCCTCTACCAGGTTCCCATGGGGTAATTCTGCCTGCTAGGGACTCTGCCTTCATTTGTTGGTGTTCTCAGACTTCCTAAGGGCAGGGACCCGAGGCAAACACCTGCAGGCACAGGGCTGGCTGCTCTAGGGTGGCTGCACAGCACTCTCACAGGCTTGCAACGTCACTGCACTCATTGCACTCACGCCTTTGGGTTACTGCACCTCTCAAGTTTTCATTCTTATTTTTTATAATATATTTCAACATATATAGTACCATATTTACCACGGTTTCTCTCTAGAAAACAATGACTACTAGGGTGACTGTAACAAGTAATTACAGTTTCCAGCCCCCTCAGCCTACCAGTGCAGCAGATTCATCATCTCATAGGTGGGACATGGCAGAACACACACAGCTT